CCCCTCCCCCGGCCAACAGTGCTCACGCCGCAGGGCCTCGTTCGTCAGACACGTTGGTTTTCCTTTCCTTGTTATTTATATAAAGATAATTTATCAAAAGGATATTTTAAAAAAAGTTAGTCTGTCTTGAAACTTGTTTACCTGGAACTTACCCGAATCTTAGTGTTTGAAAGTACTGAAGCACAAACATGTATCATCTCTGTACTGTTCTGTACGAAAGCACTCAGTCTAATAAATAAACACATCAGCGCCCACTCCGTGTCCGTGGCGACTCTCGACGGGTTTCACTGTGGGAAGCGGAAGGAGAAAGGCTTTTGCGGTGGTCCACGGCAGCGGAGTCCAGCCACCCGGCCCTGGCCTGGACTTCTGGCTCCGGGCGACCATTACTTGCATTAAGATCTGCAGCTGTGGGCCCCGGCTGGTGTAGCTCAGTGGATTGAGCGCGGGCTGCGGAACCAAAGCATCGCAGGTTCGATTCCCAGTCAGGGCACATGCCTGGGTTGCAGGCCACGGCCCCCAGCAACCGCACATTGATGTTTCTCTCTCTCTCTCTCCTCCTCCCTCCCTTCCCTCTCTAAAAATAAATAAATAAATAAAACCTTTAATAAATAAATAAAGATCTGCAGCTGTCTCACGTCTGGGGACAATCCGTGAAGCTTGTCCGGGCCCCGGCAGCAGCGGGACACGGCGTGCGGACGAGGCAGTCCTTCCCTCGCCCTGTGCTCCCTGTCGAGAGCGTCCCTGTCTTAGAGCCCGCGGGGCGCTGCCTCTGCAGATGCTCCCGACTCGAGCTGCGGGGACAGCCTGTTGTGGGCGTGCGGTGAGTCACTGCACCCGTGGCACGGCTCCCTTCAGCTCCTGATGCCACCACGCCCTCTGGCCCTCTAATGAACTTCCTTCCAGACCCGACGCTGGGGCCTGTCCTGCTGGCCTCGAAGGCTGTTTGTGACCCCGGGTGACTGTGATGAGTTCGGCCCGGTCCGGGCAGCAGACCAATGAGGTAGGGCCGGGTCGCACTGGGAACCCGCTAGGATTCCGGGCCCAGGGAGGCGGGGTGCGTTGCAGGGACGCTTCCTTTGTCTCGGTCACTCTTTCATCCACATCCCGCCTCCTTCACCGCAATGCAAAATCTAACAAGTCAGGGCCAGTCGGTGAAGGTCAGTCTAGGTCCCCAGCTCAGCGGTTGTCTCGTGGGACCCGCCCTGAGGAAGGTGACAGTGACCGTCTGCTGAGCTGCTGCTCTGAGTCAGGCCCCTCAGGCACCTTGTCTGTTGGGCGGGCTCCCTCCCTCCCGTTCTGCAGGTGAGGGAGCTGGGCTCAGAGAGGCGCAGCGACCCACGAAGCACGTCCCCCTGGGGAGCGTCAGACACTCGTGGTCTTGTATCCCCCGTGGCGTCCCTGGTGACCAGAACGCCTTGGAGTGAGGTCCAAGCTCAGCATTGTTCAATTCTACATTGTCCTGCTTGGAGCTCACAGTAAAGCAAAGTGAACCCCATTTGCTCCCTCATCCCAGGGCCGCCTATACCCTCCAGAGCCAGAGCAGTGGCTTGCTGTCCTTGACTAAGTCTCTGACACCCTTTGACCCAGGGGCCCTGGCGCTCCCTCCATTCCAGCCCCCTCTCCTCCACCCAACGGCAGACAGGGCTGGCCCTTGTTATGCTCCTGCCGGGAGTCCCGGTTCTGCAGCTACACCGCTCAGGAGGAGCCTGCGAGTCGTTCCTCCAAAGAGCCCCCAGTTGTATTCAATAGTCTTCGGAGGGGAGAGGGCTTGAAACAAACCCAAGTAGATGGCGCTGAATCCATAACGAGCAGTACCTGTCGCAACCGAGACAGGTCTGTGAGCTGCAGCCGGCCGCTTGGCCTTTCCGGGAGCTCAGGTCCAGGCTGGGGGTCTCAGCCACACCCTGCTGAGGGGCCTGTATGGCTGTGACAGGCCCTCAGTGTGACAATAGACATTCGCTCCCGGGAGGCAGAATGGCAGAGTGACTAGGGGCACAGAGCTTGGCCTCAGGCGAGCCTGGCTCACATCCATAGGACCGTGCTGAGCAGCCTCGTCCCCTCCTGTGAGTGATGCCCATGAGGGGTGGTGCCGAGCTGAAGGATAGTTTTGCTGGGTCTAGAATCCTTGGTCGACAGCCTCTCTTTCAGCATTTTCTCATTCTGCTGCCCCTCGCCTCCGTGGTTTCTCCTGAGAGGTCAGCCGTTAATCTGATTGAGGAGCCGATGCATGTGATGAGTAGTTTCCCTGTTGCTGCTTTCTAGGTTCTTTTGTCTTTGTCTTTCTGCAGTTTTACTATGCTATGTCTAGGTGTGAATCTCCTTGAGTTTACTCAACTTGGAGTTCATTGAGCTTTCTGGATGTGCTTGGTGTTCACAACCCGGAAGCTCCCCAGGCCCCACGTTTAGGAGTTGTTACGGAGGTTTCACCGGGTAGGACGGTTGATTAAATCACTGGCAGCTGATCATTGCAATCAACCTCCACCTCTTCTCTCCCCAGAGGTCCAGGGTGGGGCTGGGGTAGGGCTGGGGTCTGCTGAAAGCTCTAACCCTCTAATTATGTGCTTGGTCTCTCTGGTGAACAGTCCCCATCCTGAAGCTGTCCCCAACTCAGGAAATACCGCATTAGCATAAGTTTCAAGTATGGTCCAAAGGGGCTTGTTATAAATAACAAAAGACACTCAGGAAGTTTTTCAAGAGCTCTGTGCCAGGAACCCGGGAGCATATATATATATATATATATAATACCACAGCAAATAAGAGTGGGTCATTGCTCAAATACCACACTCATTCTTAGGGAGAGTTAGATTTTCTTGAATGAATGCCTTTCTATTTCCTGTATGCCCTTAGAACAGTTTCCAGACACTTTAAATCATTGTTTCTTTAAAAAAAAAATCTTCACCACTTAAATGGTTGTTTTGCTGAAGGGAAGGTGGATCGAGCTCCTTGCTGTGTTATTCAGGAATTTCCTCCATGTGTGGTCTTAAGTCAGTGAGCAGATGTTTACTGAGCGCCTACTATGTGCCAACTTTCATCCCAGGCGCTGGGGATGCAGCCACGAACAAGACAGACTGGGACTCAAGAACTCACACTAGTGGGTTCTCTCTCTGTCTCTCTCTCTCTGTCTGTCTGTCTCTCTCTCTCGCTCACACACACACACACACACACACACACGCCCTCGATAAATGAATTCATCAGGCCTGTGTGCTCCACAGAGGCAGGCAAGGTGTCCGGCATGTTTAATGATGCCTTGCCACGCCCCCGTCAGTGGGGGTGGGGCCTGGGCTTCCTTCCCTCCAGGGCCTCCCAGAGCTGGTGGTGCCCCGGCCTACCAGCCACTGTGTGCACTTCACTGCTCCTCTCAGAAGACTCAGATCACAGAGTCTGGCAGCTCCAGCAGCTCTGGCCCACCTGCACCAGCCCCCAGCGTGGGACACAGAAGGCAGTTCAAGGAGCAGCAGTGAGATGGTGCCACTGGGGAAGGTGATGAAGACCTGTGGCCCCAGCAGAGGGAGCTATGGGGAGACTCTCCAAACGAACTCCAGGAAGAGGCATCCTTCAACCTGGAGCACCCCCTTCCCCACCCCCACCACCCAGAAGGCTGGCCAGGAAGCCCAGGTGGCCACATTTATAAACCTCACCCTGCCCCCAGGAGCCACCCCGGTGCCAACAGGAAGGAGTTCAGTTCCCAGAGCTGACAGCTTCTGTGGGCTCCCGGCAGCCTGAGGGGCTGCTGACCGTGCTGCCCACCGGGCTGGGGGTTCAGAGCTACCCAGGAGGCGTGAGGAGGGAGAGGACAGCTGGCCGATGCAAGCACCATGGGGGTCCTTTGCCTGGGCTGGGCCACTGTGGGAGAGCCCCCCAGGTCAGGGAGGAGGCGATGTCCTGCTGAGGGGGTGCATTGCTGTGAACTAGGGGGGCCGGTCCCAAATCTTGGGCACTGGGTCAGGCCTCTCTCCCTGGGGGCGTGTATTGCCCCATCTGCGGTCCAGGGCAGACAGACTCGAGCCCGCTTTGAACCGGCCACTGCTGCAACCTGCCTCACCGCTGGAAGTGCCCACCCACCTCCTGTCCCCGGCCCCTCCCGGACCCCAGGCACGTACTGCAAGTGTCCCGCTGTTCACAAGATTTATCGCTCGGACCAACCCCAAGTGCTGGAGGAACCCCGCGCCCCCTCTTGTCTAGCCATCAGACTTTCAGGTGGACCACATCATTCCTGACGAGTGCCGGGCCCTAGGACAGCAGGGAGGGAGAGGACCTGCCGCTGTCCGGGAAGTGCCTGGGCCACTAGCATGGGGGGAAGAGCGGTTTCTCCGTTGCAGCGCCCCCTGCAGGCCAGAGCTACAGAGCAGGCCTCTGTCTGCCAGCGTCAGCGTGGGGCACGTGGGGCACTTCCATGGGGCCGCCCTGGGACCCCAGTGTGGGAGCCTCTATGTAACACGTCCATTTCGAGCATGTGAGAGAGAGGCTGCTGCACCCTAGCATGTCATCAGTTTGGCTCGGATAAAAAAAATATAATATAAACATCCATTTCTTCCCGCACTGCCTCCCCACCCTGCTTTGGGGGAACCGAGAGAATGATTCTGGGCAGCCCCATCACCAAAGAATTAAGCTGGTCTGAGGGACTTCTTGACCTGGGGGCCAGGTGACCAGCCTCCTCTGGTCACAAAGGGGCAGGGTGGTGATTTCTAGGGCGCAGGCCCACTGTAATATTCCCACATGACTTACTACCACTTGGGGGGAAAGGGCTCTCCCCAGAGCCCAAAAGAGTGCGCCAAGAGCCTGGCATGTTCGTCTCTGAGACACCCCAGCATAAGGCCTCTTTGGAGATGCTGCCAGCCCTGGAGGTGGAGGCCACTGACCATGCCAGCCTTGCCAGGGAGAGGGCAGGGCCCCTTTAAGCCTTGCCTCACTCCCTCTGTCTGTTGCTATGTATGAGACCAACTTCCTTAGCAACCACCTGGCCTTTTAAAGGAGCCCTGGAGTAGGGGTGGCCACCAGCCATGGCTCCGAAAAAGAAGGCAAACAGGGGGGCCAAGGAGCTCGAGGTCAAGAAGAAGAAAGGCGGCAAGAAGGATCCCGGCGCGGCCGTGGACCAGACTGTAGTCGAGGAGATTCGGAAGTTCTACCACATCCAGATCCGAGACCTGGAGGACAGGCTGGCTCGGTGGGTGGGCAGGCGGGCAAGGGGTGGGGGCTGCCCCTGCTCTGTGGGAAGCTCAGCCCAGGGCTGGCCACTGTGCCAGGTGGGCCAGGGAGGAGGGGCTTCTCTGACTCTTCCAAGACACATTCTGCTCGCCCATTTCTCTTACTTTCAAACTAAGTTTCCTCCCAGTGAAATGCACTAGCTACCGTATTTTGCCGTGTATAATGCATGCCCACGTTTTTGGCCCAACCTTTCAGGGGGAAAAAATCTTTCGTTTTAATTTTTTAATTCAAGTATTTATTTATATTCAGAAACAAACCCGATTATCATATTTCAGGATATTATTTTGTGTACAGATATCATTATTGCTTTCTAGAGTTACACGTATAATGCATAAGCATAAATTAAATAATTAAAAACATTTATATAACCCTGGCTAGTGTGGCTTAGTTGATTGAGTGCCAGCCTGTGAACCAGAGGGTCGCTGGTTCAATTCCCAGTCAGGGCACACACCTGGGTTGTGGGCCAGGTCCTCAGTGGGGGGCGCACAAGAGGCAACCACAAACTGATGTTTCTCCCCTTCTCTTTCTCCCTCCCTTCCCCTCTTTATAAAATAAAATCTTTTTAAAATTTTATATAGGTATGGAATTAGTACCACCCGTGTATAATGTGCATCCTTATTTTTCCCTCAAAAATTTGGGCAAAAAGTGTGCATTATACACAGCAAAATACGGTAAGTCTCAGGATGCTGCTTAAAATACAAACAGCTTTGGTGGTGAGTAGGCAGGCAGTGGTTCCTGCCCACGTGTTGCAGATGCAGCTAATGTTGAGTCATTCCTGTACGCCAGGTGGGTCCTGTGATCTCGGGCTCTGTGTTCTTGCAGAACCACGAACATCACGCCCGCGGCTCAGGTGCAGGAACCGGGGCTCAGGGAGGGGAAGTCACCTTCAGGAGGGAGAGGCGCCAGAGTGGGAGCCCTGGCCCCGACCTCTGTGCCCTGCGCAGCTGAGCGCGCAGCAGCCCTTTAAAAGATGGTGGCTGGGCAAATAGTGAAGCAAAACACCCTTCCAAATAACTTCCACCAGTGATTCCACTGGAAACCAGTAAGTCAGTTATATGATACTCTTAATTCAGAAGCTTCCTTCGGGCCCAGACGCCAGGTTGAATGTGTTTGGGGAACGTGCATTTGGGAGACAGTGATTCGGTACTTGGTACTGGCCACGCCCCTCCGCCAGGCCCCGAGAACACAGTGGTGAGGGGGGTCAGCGGTCTGCCCCATGGAGAAGACAGACACACCAGCTCTTGACGGCCCGGTGGGACCAGGGCCAACCTACTGAAGGGCACCAGAGAGGGTCACCATATGACTCAGGGCCAAGAGGGCTCCACTGAGGAGGTCAGACCCAGTGGGCGAGGGTAAGGAGGGCAGCAGGTGCGAAGGTTTGGGGCCGCAAGGGCAGAGGTGCAGGGAGAGCGCGGGGCTGGTCAGCTGGCCGTGGGCGTTGTGGTTGAGCCTCGACTCCGGGGTCAGATTGATGCCAGTGCAAGTTCTGGTTTTGCCACTTGCTAACGAGGAGTTTCTTCATCCTTCTGAGCCTCCGTTTCCTCCTCTGTAAAATAGGTATCAGCTTCACAGTACCGATTTCCTTCTGGATTGCTTTGAGGATTTAACAAATACACACTGGATACCTACTATGTACCAGGCACTGTCCTAGGTGCAGGGGACATAGCTGTGGACCCCAGAGACGGAGGCCCTGCCCTCCTGGAAGTTACATTCTGATGACGTGATGAGCGTGGAGCCCTGAGCAGACCCCGGCTGTGCCCAGGAGTGCAGATCGGGGGAGACAAGGCTGGATTCCGCCCGGGGGGAACCTCGCGTGCCTCTCCGTGGGCGAGTCCTGCGGCGTGCGGCCCAGGTGCAGAGCCCTGGCTCACCCAGCCCCTGGCTCACCGCCCTGCCCTGCCCTCCACGCAGGTACCAGCGGAAGTGGGATGAGCTGGCCGTGCAGGACAAGCTGTTCCACCAGGAGTTCGAGCAGCTGGCCACCAACAAGAAGGAGATCGTGGCCTTCCTCAAGCGCACGCTCAACCAGCGGGTGGATGAGATCACCGACCTCAACGAGCAGCTCCAAAGCCTGCAGCTGGCCAAGGAGATAGAAAAGGACGCTTTTGAGGCACAGCTGGCCCAGGTGCGGCACGAGTTCCAGGAGACCAAAGACCAGCTCACCTCGGAGAACATCATCATTGGTGAGGGGCTGGAGGGCACACGCCACAGTGGCCGGGAGCCCAGGGCTCTGGCTCTCCGGGTTCGAGTCCTAGCGCAACCGCATTGTCTGTGGCCTTGGGCAAGCACCTCTCTGACCCTGTTTTCCCACCTGGGAAGCGGGGATAATACGTCTACCTTGAATAACAGCCATGTGCTGCTTTCAACACATTATCTTCCATCCTTGTCCCAGCAATCCCACGAGGCAGGAAATATCATCGCCCCCATTTCATAGGTTGGGAAGCACTTTAAGGTGAAGTGTCTTGGCCAAGGTCACCTAGATGGCCAGGGCTGTTCTGAGGCTTAATGACAGCATGAGTGCCTGGCCCGGAGAAGGTGTTCAACTTGCATTAGCTGTTGTCAGTTGCTTTCACAAGAGGGGAGTGGAGGGGCATGCCTAGGAAGCGGAACCCGAACAAGTCTTACTAAAATGAGCGGAGGGGAGAAGGCACTTTCCAGACCAAGGCGGTAACTGGGTGTGGGGCAGGGGTCCAGCCCCACTGCGCCAGAAACCCCAGGGCTGGCCAGAAGTGTGGAGGGAGGAGCATGGCCCCAGGCCCTCCCCACCCCGGGGACCTGCACTCCCAGGCAGCCCCTCACTAGGCCTGTGCCCTGTGGTGGGGCAGCGGGAAAGCTGGCAGCCCTGGAGGAGTTCCGGCTGCAGAAAGAGGAGCTCATGGAGAAGTTCACGTCGCTGGAGGACCAGCTGCAGATGCAGGAGAAAGAATTCAAGGATTATGTGTACAACCTGGAGAAGAAGTCGGTGCTGGACAAGGACAGGTGGGCAGGCCAGGTGCTGCAGGCCTCCGTCAGCAGGGCCAGGCACAGCCCAGTCCTCAGCCCTGTCTGCCTCGGCTTCTGACCGGGGGTGCTGCACGAGCCCCTCGGCTCCCTGCCCCGTGCTTCTCCTCGCAATCCTGGCTGGTTTGTGGAGGGCGGGAGAAAATAACCACGCTCCCCAGCCCCGGTCCTCGTGCTGGCATGAGGGAATCCCTGAACAGCCTTTTGCCATGTTTTGTGGACTACGTCATGTTTATTTCATTCATGGGTAATACACTGATTTGGTTACAATCCGAAAGGTACCAGGGTGTGCAATGAGCAGCCTGCCGCCCACAGCCCGCCCCTCCTGGGGGAAGAGCAGAGGTGGCCCTGCATGCTCCGGGAACCCCCACGCAGGACGGGGGTGCCTGAGGTCTGCGCCCGCTCTGCCGACCCCCTCCCCTCCCCCGTCCTGACTAGAGTGAAGAAGGAAGTCATTCAGCGCCTGAACATGGTGGCCACCGAGTTCCGCAAGGTGGCCACGGACCAGATGTGGGACACGACGAAGCGGGCCATCCTGGAGAACAACACAGTGACCCTGCAGCTGTCCAAGGTCTCCAGGCACGGCATGAGGCTGCTGCAGGAGAACGACCAGCTCAAGGGCACCCGGGACAAGATGTCCAAACAGCTGGAGCTGCTGGAGGACATTGTGAAGGCCATGGCCACACACCGCAGAGACTACCGGCAGGTGAGCTGGCCAGGCCCTCACCGCAGGGGGGCCACAGGGGCCCTGCCCTGGAGCAGAGTCATGAGGGAGGCAGCTGTGAGGGGACGGACCCTCTTGGCGGGGGCTCCGGGGTGCTGGCCCCAGCTCTGGTTGTTCTTGACTTGATTGCAAGCCCCGTAACATGTTGGAGTGGAACCCACACACGGAGAGCTGGGGGCTCTGTCCAACTGCTGCCCAGAGAGGTGGCCTCTCTGTGCGGTGGGGTGGGCGCCCTGGCGGAGTCTGGGGCTGGGGGAGCGGGACTGGCTGCGGCCCGCAGTGGGCCCAGGCATGCCACCTGTATGCTCCCACAGGTCATCCTCAGGCTCACCCAGAAGTGCCGCAAGGAGCAGCAGGGCAGAGAGGAGGCTGAGCAGCTGGGCCTCCTGCTGAGCCAGCTGGAGCAGAACCTCCTGCAGCTGCAGAAGGACAAGGAGGCCCTGAGGTGTGGCCCGCAGAGGGGGGAGCGGTGGGAGCAGGCGGGAGCCCATCTCTTCATGGCCACATGACACAGGCCAGTGACTTCCCCTCTCCAGAGGGGCCTCAAGGCTTCCTCTGTCAAACAGGCTGAGGCCTGGGGCTGGATGAGGGTCCCTGTGGGCTAAAGGGCAACGTCAGGGCCCATCGCCCTGGAACCGGGAGGTGACTGACTCATCTGGTCCGGGACCAGGTGCCAGAGGGACCAGCTGAACCTGCAGGCGGAACTGCAGCAGGCCAAGGCGCAGCAGCTGCAGCAGGAGCTGACCGAAGAGCGGAAGGTTCGGGCAAGCCTGGAGACGGCCCTGGACCAGGCCGCTGCCTTCCTACAGGACATCCTGCAGGTGAACGGGAAGTGGGTGACAGTTGGGAGTGGGGGGGAGCAGATCAAAGACAGGAACTGCCCACAGGTAGCTGGGCCATGCAGAGAAGCCCCGGCCAGGGCCGGAGGCCCCAACTCTCCCCTGGGAGACTCCTGGCAAGTCTGTCCTTATCTGATTCTGCGGGTCTGAAAGAACTGGATGGAGTCCCTCTTGGAGCTCCCTGGAAGGCCACGAGCCTCAGTCTTCCCATTTGGAGAGTGGGTACCCACCACAGCCAGGGAACACTGTGGAGACAGGCACTAGGGGTTGGAGTTACCAGAGGTGGGTGTTGGGGCCACCAGGGGCCTGACCCCCCACGGGCCCACCCTGACCCCTACCGGCAGAGGCCACCAGAGGAAGAGGACGGCGACTTTGACGTAGGGTACCACCTGCAGCACAGGCAGATGCTACAGCAGCTGCTGGCCATGCTCGGCTCAGCCACTGGCCTAAGGTCCCCAATGAAAAGCCAGTCCCGGGGCCCTAAGGAGAGGTGAGTGACTTCGTGTGACCCCAGAAGCAGTTACGGGACATGTCCAAGGGCTGTCCTCAATGACCCTGGGCCAGAATCTGGGCTCCCCGAAGCCCTTCTGAACTGCAGCTCTCCCACCCATGAAACGGAGGTGATGACACGGGCGCCCTCCCCGCAGCCAGTACAGCAGCACCCAGTGCAGCACCCAGTGGCCCAAGGCCAGGTCTCTGCAGCAGCAGCTGTCGGCCATCAAGCGCTACCAGCTGGGAGACCTGGGCCTGGTGCCCCGACGGGCCCACATCCCACCCAACCCTGAGGACCTGAGGCTGCTGTCACACGCCACCCGTATGAGAGCACTCCACTCACACAGGAACGGGGAGGTGAGTGTACCCGGAGCCCCGGGGACAGCAAGATGGCGGCCCGCCCTGGGTGCCTATCACAGCTCAGCCACACGGCAGCTGTGTAGCCCTGGGGACGTGGCTAGACCTCTCCAAGCCTCCACTTCCCCGCCTGTGAAATGAGCCAAAGAAAGGTGTGGCAAGGCCTCCCTGGGCCAAGGCACACCCACACAGCCCCTGGGAAGGGGGCTTGCTGGGCCCTGAGGGCCCGTCCCTCCTCCACAGGGAAGGGGAGGGCAGGAGCCCCCGGAAGAGCTTCCAAGCAGGCATCTTCAATCTTACAGATCCACATCTCTGATCCCCCAAAAATGATCAAAAAGTTCAGTTGCCCTGAAGTTTCCCTACTTTCTAAGTGAGACTTGGAAAGAAGACCGACTGCCTACCCCAAGAATGGACCCGTCCAGCCACAGTCCCCTTCAGTCGGTAGAAGGCCCGGAGCAGCCAAGACCAGCTATATAAAAAGTAGACACCACAGGCTGCTGTGGCACCTCTGTGGGCGTGGCCGGGTGTGTGGGCATGGCAGCCGCGTCCACTGGTGTCAGGTGCCTGACAAGGGCCCCTGGCTTCGCTCACGGATGTGGTCCAGGAGCAGGTCTGTGGCGCGCTCCAGCAATGGAGGCAGCAGCTCCTGCTCCGAAGGGGAGAAGCAGCCCAGCACGTGCGCCTGCACCGCGTTAGGGTGCGTCGGGCGCCCGATGCCTACCCGCAGCCGTGGCATTGCCTGTGGAGAAGCAGAGGGGCCCAGGCGGCTTTGGTGAGGAGTGTTAGGGCCCCACGCCCAACCACCCGACCCAGAGCAGGACAGAGGGGTGGACTCACACTGGAGTTGAGGCAGCTAATGCAGGAACGAACTCCATTGTGGCCCCTTCAAGGATATGGGAGGAGCAGTCAGTGCCTCCCTGCGACAGCAACCCCCTCAACCGCACCCTTCCCAGCCCAGGCTGGGGTCAGCCCGCTTACCCCACTCCATTTGGGAGGCCAACTTCCCTATCCCAGACAGACCGGCTCAGGGCCTCACCTGGCGCTTCCCCCCAGCTTCAGAGCCAGCTTCCCCAGGGGCTTGTCCAGCTCATCATGCACCAGGTAGACCTCCTCGGCAGTCAGCCCGAACAGCTCGGCTTGGCACAGGGAAAAGGTGGCCCCGGTTATGCTGATCTGCCCAGAGCGCGTTTTCCCAACTCACAGCTCCCATGTGGAGGGGTCGAAATTAACCCCACTTCACATTTAAAAAAAAAACTGACGCACCCACAATACCCGAAGCCACGCGGCAGCTAGAACTCAACTGGCACCTGGAGGTGAACCCATCCGCCGCACCCCAAAATACCCTCTGGCCCCTACGCCCTCGAGACCGGCCTGCCCCTGGTACTCTCAACTCACCAGCCTGGGCCACGCTGCGCCCATTGGAATTCATGAGACGCCGCGGCCGAAGCAGGACCAGCTGGGCATCCCCAAGTGAGGCCAGGGCGAGGTCGGCGGCGCAGCGACGGTCGCGGACCCAGCTCTCAGACACCCCCAGCCGCCGCGCCAGTTGCCCCAGCACTGCCATACCCACGCTGTGCCTCGTGCCCAGCAGTCCGGGGTTCCCCAGGCCAGCCACCTGCGGGCGGCACCAGGGAAACTGAGGCCCGACAACTCTCTCCACCCTCTATCTCACGATGCCCCTGGGACCCAAAGCAGAAGAAGGGAAATAGAAAGCAGGAACAGAGTGGGAAAGGGTCGCGAAAAGGAAGCCCGGAAACCCTGGAGACTCCAGAAGTCTGGGTGGGAAACGTGCCCCGTGGGTGGCGCAGGCAGGGCGCCATGGTGCGGGAGCAGAGATCCTGGAAGTCTGGGGCCCTGCGGGTATTGGACCCATTTCTAAATAAGAAAACTGAGACAGGGAATTTGGGGGAGGGGGGGACGGGGCTTTGCCCAGGAGACAGTGGCAAAACTGGAGTTAGGCCCCGGGGGCCCCTACGTCGCCGCCCCTCATGCCACTCACCAGCCACCGCTTCCCCGGGAGCCGGGGCTCCAAAACGCACTGGCTCATGCCGCAACTCAGCCGCAGCCCCGCGCACCAGAGGCCGGGCGGCGGCATGCTGCTCCCACTCACGGGCCCTCCCCTGACGTCAGCCACCCCTCGACCAACCGTGGTCGTCACCTGCCACCAGCGTCCAATCCGGGGCGGGCCACTGGCCGCCATGCTCCTGAGGGGCGGAAGTGGCGGGCGGGGGCGTGTCTGGGCGCCCCGGCATTCCGTGGCGCTGCGTCACTGCGTCTGGGCGGGGTTTGTTGTGGGACGTGAAGAGCCCTTGCATTACCTCGGGTTTGGGAAGAGCGAGCCTTGTTCTGTCGTGTGCTGTGGTCCTGTCTCGCTGCGGAAACCGGCAAGTCCTCCACACATTGAAGCCTCAGTCTCCCCACCTAATAAAAGTTTTGTTACTCTTTTTCTGGCTCAGACAGCCCTCGGTGTGTGTGTGTGTGTGTGTGTGTGTGTGTGGTGGGGGAACGGCCCTTGGATTCCGGGGGCGTGGCCAAAGGGCGGAGCCTGTGGGCATCGTGGAGAGGGTGCCTAGCAACGTGTGGGCTAGGGCTGCGAGGTAGCCCACTCAGTCCCGCAGGTCTTCCTGGAAGGGGCCTCATGACAGACTCCAGAGAGGTGCGGGAGAAAGCTAAAGCACAGGCAGAGGGTCGGGAGAGAAGAGACTTATACTGAGTTCACAGGAAAGGTTTTAAGAATGGGAGAGGCAGGCTTAGTTGTGCAATTCAGGAAAATGCCAGGCCCCCATACAGAGAACAGAGGACTTTGGACGTGTGGCCAGTGGGGAGGTTGGAGGCGTGGCCGATGCTGGCGTCCTGGCAGAGATGGCATTGGCCGCGATGAGAGGGTGGGAGAAGAGGCGGGATCGAAGAGATCTTTAGGAAGTGGGACAGACAGGACTTGAGGACTCATGGGACAGGGGTCTCTGGGTGGCAGAGAAGGTGGGCTTACGGAGATGGGAAAGCTAGAGCAGAAGTCAAGTGAGGGGCTCAGTTTGACCTGCTGGGTGTGGGCGCACACAGGATACTCGTGCAGCTGCAGGCCCCTGGAGCGGGCAGCTTGGGACAGGGTCTGAGCCGGAGACAGAGTTTTGGGTGTCAGCTGGAGAAGGGTGCTGAGGGGGACCAGGAAGAGAGCAGAAGGCAGTGTGAGCCTGAGAATCTTGACCCTTGACTTTGACCATAGGAGAGAGGCAGGACTGGAGCGGGGTGGAGTGCAGAGGGTCAGAACATCCCTAAGGGGAGTAAGGCTGGGAGTGCACCAGACGCTGAGTGTGCCTCCTGCCACCCTTCCTCCTTCCTGTAACACACCTGACCAGAGTGTGCAAGTGGAGGGGGTCCTCTCGGAGGCCTGCCGCACCTTGCTGCCCCTTGGTTCTAGGATCCTCCGTGGCATGAACAGGCTCCCTCACAGCACGTCCAAAAGTCCCAGGGGACTCCACTCCCACAGGAGGTCCTCCAGCGCATCTTTGGGACCTGCCAGGTGTTCCAGAGCTTTGAGGAGAGAAAAACAACGGTCACTGGGATAACAGTGCCCTTAAAAGTCAGGGAGTAGTGAGTGACTACCTCGTCCCAGGGTCCCTGGTTTCTGTTCTGCCCAGCCATTGACATGCTGTGCAGCTTTGGGCCAGTTACTCTCCCTCTCTGGGCTTCAGTGAACTCACCCATGTAACAGGGCTCTTCTGCCTCAGTGGATCAAAGGCTGCTGGCCCGGATGAGCTCCAAGAATCTCTGTCTACTCCTGTCTCTCCACCCAACTGTGTCCCACCCACTCCCACAGCCCCAGCTGCATGCCCTGGGCTGGTCAAGGCCAGGGTCAGCCCCTCTGCCTGTGCCCCCTGTCCCTACAGCTACCTCCAAGGCTACCAGTGTTTGGAACAAGAAGACTGGGAGTTGGCCGTGCTGTTCTTCTCCCGTGCCCTCCACCTGGACTCCCAGCTGGTGAGGGCAGGGTTTGGATGGGCACAGGCAGTCTCTGGCACACGCTTCCCCCCTCACCGTCTGTCGCACCTTCCAGGTCCCTCCCTTCGGGGCCACCAAGTCCCTGCCGGTAACTGAGTGTCGAGCCTCAGGGCGAACTGTGGGGAGAGGACAGCAGCGTGTTTCCTCCTCCTCAGGTAGACTTCTACGCCTTGAGAGCGGAAGCCTACATCCAGCTCTGTGACTTCTCCTCGGCCGCCCAGAACCTGCGAAGGGCCTACTCCTTCCAGCCAGAGAACACCAGCTTCCTGGAGCGCCTCACCTTCGTGCTCTACCTGCAGGTGCCTCGGCGCCACCTCACACCCCGGCCCTCGGGGTCTCCCTCCCGCTAGGGGCCTTCCCCTGCTCCTGGGACTAGTGTTGACTGCCTGCGACCTCCTTGTCCCCGTGTCTGTGCGCCCACCTGCTGGCCCTCTCATGACCTCTCCCACCTCCCTGCAGGCTGACTACCAGGGCTGGGTAAAGATTTGTAACATGGTCCAACAGAACTTCCTGCAGTCTCGACACTGATCTATGATCGACTCGGCACTCTCTGACCTGGTAGCCATTAGCCACGTGCAGCTGCTGAGCCCTTGAAATGCTAAGTTTTTTTTTCATTGTCTGCCATTGTTATGAAATTTACATATAGCCACGTGCAGCTGTGCTCTGGGGTTGGACAGTACAGACCGAGAAGCTAGAGATCTAAGCACTAAAAAGGTAATACTGGCCCCATTTGCAAGAAGAAAAAATATTAAACCGTAAATACCAAAAGTCCTGCTTTTTTTCCATTTTAACAACTTTGATATCTTTGTTTTTCATGTCCAGTTATGCAGTTCTTGAAAAGAAACATTTGGGACACCCAAAGCACGTGCTTAATCTGTCTATTGGGGTCCGGAGTCCAGTACAGGCACTTCCTGTGTGACCTTGGGGAGGTTACTTCACCTCTCTGAGCCTCAGTTCTTTCACCTAAAAGGGGGATGCTAGTTAGTGTCAGTGAGATAGCGAGTTTAGGTTGTCAACACAGGGCTCAGTGGTCCTGGCTGGAGCCTGTTACTGTTGGCGCTGCTGCTCTTGTCTGCCTCCCAGACTTTGCTATTTCTCTTTGTTCCTGTGTCTCTGTATTGCTGTCTGTCTCTCTCGCCCAGTGTGTATTTCTCACTGTCTCGTGCTGTCTCTCCCTAGCTCTGTATCTCTCTCCATCTCTGTGTCTCTGACTCTTAAAGTCTCTCTAGCTCTAAAGACCTCTGTCCCTGTCTCTCGTGTCTCTCCCCTTCCACCCCAGTGTGGCCCACGCCCTCTCATGAGTGCTGCTGCGCCCGGGATCGAAGCAGAAGTGACTGCTCCTTGTGTCCCCAGGGCCAGTGCCTGTTGGAGCAAGGTGCCTTTCTGGATGCCCTGCACGTCTTCTCGCAAGCTTCTGAGCTCCAGCCTGAGAAATCCTGCTTCCACTACCGATGGTGAGGCTCCTTGCCAGCGCTGGTTTTCCAGCACCCCTTCCTCTAGCGCAGACATTTTCAACTGCCAGCGGCATGCTGCAAGAATTTTTAAAATATGCAACACCTGACTGTTTAGTCAGGGGCATTGACGTCTTTTCCCTTGGACTGTCAAGTTAAACAATGACTACAGCCCTGGCCGATGTGGCTCAGCTGATTGGAATGTTGTCCCGTAGACCAAAAGGTTGCGGTTTCAATTCCCCATCAGGGCACATACCTGGGCTGCAGGTTCGGTTCCCTGGTCAGATTGATGTTATTCTCACGTCAATGCTTCTCTCTTCCTCTCTCCCTAGAATCAATAGATATATCCTCAGGATTAAAAAAAAGGATTAAAAAAAAAAGCCAACACAATAGTCACCCAGTATAGATGAATCAAAATTACACCTATTTTTTTGGTCAGATCAGCACAAAATACATTTTTTGGCGTGCTGGAGAATGTTAATCATTAGTTTGTGTGGGCCCCAGATGACAAAGGTTGGGCGTTGCCACTTCGGCGGACAGGGCGCCTTCGCTCTCTGCCCTCAGCATGGCCTGCCTCCTGGCCCTCAAACGCCATGACGACTGCCTGTCACTCGTCACCGAGGAGGTGAAGCACGGCACAGCCAATGCTGACATCTACATCCTCCGGGCCAGGCTCTATAACTTCTTCCAGAAGGTAGAACAGGGAGGGTGGGGCAGGCGGCAGCCCTCCCCCCGGCCTGGGTGTCCCCCAGCACACCCCGAGATCACACAAGGCTGCTAAGCCATCATCCACCTGTCCCGAAGCTGCCTCCCCACAGTGCGGCGGGGGCACGTCCTCTGTGGGCAGAGGCCCCGACTGCACTGCCCACTCAGCTGCCCAGTCAGGTAGCTGTTCCGTCATCACTCAACTCTGGCCCTGTGCCAGGCCCGCGCTGGCCCCTGGAAACCACGAGGTAAGAGACCTGTGCCATCACTGCCTTCACAGGACTCAGCCCAGGGGAGACGCCCCTGGGCAGACAGTTGCGTGAAGCGTGATTTCAGGAGAGTGTAAAGCAGCCTCAGAGATCTATTCGATGAGGGGGCCCTCCCTCCTCCCTTCCTTCCTTCCTCCCTTCCTTTCCTTATTTGCCTCAGGGAACATGTACTAAGCCCCCCCAGGAGGCACACCCCCTGGACTAGGCAGGGGGACAGACAGTACAGGGAACAGCTTAGGGGGGCAAGGGAAGTTTGGGGGTCACAAGGGAGGAGGGGACTTCAGGTATGTGAGGGCATCAGGCAGGGCCCGGTGAACACGGGACAACCCTGCCTTCTTCCTGGGGCCAGCAGGAGCCTCGAAAGGGTGTCCCCGGGGCAGTGGCCTTTAGAAAGGTCCTCTTGGCTGCCAGAGGGAGCAAGTCTGGAGGCCAGGAGCCTGGGGAGGAGGCCAGGTGCCATCCAGCAGGGAGGGAGGGGGCCGGGGGAGGACGGGCAAGAAGGCAGTTTACCATCCTTGGAAGCCGGGCCCAGAGGCCGACTGGGAAGATGCATCAGGGAAGGAAGGGGTCCAGAATGATGAGCGGTGTTCCGGCCTGGCCTGGTGCTTGGGAGCTGGGACAGGAAGGGGGTGGGTGGGATCGGGCAGGGGTTCACCTCAGTCCACCGGGTGGAGCACCCTGGGGGCAGTTGGAATGTGAGCCTCCCTATGCCGGGGGCTGGGCTTCTGTGTCCCACAGGGAGTCGGCGGGGGAGTGTCCTTCACAGGTAGGAGACTAGTAATTATCGATAATTACTGTTGACTGTCGGGACTCTAGCCGCTCCCACCACTTCAGCCCTTGCGATGCTTCACTCATGTGTATCTCACAGGCTCACAATAACCCCTGCAGGAGACACAACCCCTTGTCATCTTTACACAGATGAGGGTACAGGGCTTGCTCAAGGCCACACAGCCAGTGCTCAGTGGCGCGGCCCTTGAACCACAGCCTGCTCCCAAGTCCCACCCCTAGCCTCTCCCGTGTGTCCCCTCTCGACTTCTGGTGTCCCTACTGTTGGCTCTGCCCACCCTTCAACTAGTTACCCTGTAGGAGACGCGTGCTTGCTGAAAGTGTTTGTTGACTGACTGCCACAGACCTGCCCACCCAGCGGAAGGTATTTGCCTGGGGATGTTTTTCCCAGGCCTGAATCTGTTCTTAGTCAGAGTTCTCTCGGCCTTAAAGGCTGAGGCAGTGGGGGAGGAAAAGGTAGGAAGGATGTGACGGTCACCATCAGGATGCCACCCCTCCCTGGCCCTGAGTGAGCCTCTCCGAAATCGTCCCAGGAGGCAGTCTACCAAATCCCCTTCCTCGGTAGAGACCACCACGGCTGGCCTGGCGCCCCGGATGGCCACGTCCGGAAAGGGGCCAGCGGGGATTGGGCCTAGGTTGGGATTTTCCCACAGGGTTCCCTGTGTGCGTCCAGAGTCAAAAAAGGCGGAACAACAGCAAAGCAGAGCCACCAGGGACTGGTGGCAGGGTGCCGGACCGCCTGGAGAAAGGCCCCTGCCGGCCCGGAGCTCTGCCTCCCCCTGCTGGACAGGTAGGGCTCAGCTTGGCCTGTGCCGCTGACGTCACTCCCCGCCCCTGCAGCCCAACCTCTGCTATCAAGACCTGCACAGCGCTTTGCAACTGGATCCCAAGCACCCAGGGGCCATGGTGCTGCTCAAGGTGATGGTGGACCAGGCCAAGAAGTCGCACCAAGACGCCAGGACGCTAGCCGTGCAGGGCAAGCTGCAGCAGGCACTGCAGTGCATTGACTGTGCCATTGAGAACAACCCTCTGGACCCCGGCCTCTTCCTCTTCAGGTGCTGGCGGGGGAGGCGCCGGCCTTCGGCCCAGCTGAGTGCTCTCAGGGAGCTCTCGAATCCATGTGGGCCTCAGTTTCCCCATGTAATCCCTCCCGATCTTTCCCTAATCCCCACTGGGGTCAAGGCATCACAGCAGGAGGTTGCAGGAGCAGCCTCAGGTAACGAGGAACCCTGGACCCTCGGGCCTGCCACGCCCAGCACGGTGCACAAGACTTGGGTGTGACTCTGGCCCCATAAGGACTCACCACCTGACTCAGGGCCATTTAACTCCCTGGAGCCTGGGTTTCCCCGTACGCGCCGTGGGGTGAAACACCTGTGCTGTGTAAGGCCTTAGTGTGAAGGCTGGCCTGCACCTGGCTCCCCGAAAGAAAGAGGGGAGCTATTTTTGAGAAAATTAAAATTGCTAGTGACTAGCAGGTTATCTGAGTAGCACTTACAGGCCCCACAGACCAAACCCGGTGAGGGTCCAGGGTCCCCCCACCCCCACCCCACCACCACCTCCGCAGGTCAGAGGCCCAGGGCAGGCAGTGGCTTGCCCAGCCACCCCAGTCAGTGGCGGCGCTTTGGCCTTCATGTCCCCTCCCCATAGGGGCACCATGTACCGGCGGCTCCAGGACTTCGACGCCGCGGTGGAGGACCTCCTGAAAGCCCTGGACATGATGAGGCGGCACCAGGAGGGCATGGTGCAGCAGGCGCAGCGCCAGCTGCTGCTGGCCTACAACGACTTCGCGGTGCAGTGCTACATGCAGGGCGCCTACCAGGAGAGCGTGCTGCTGCTCAACAAGGCCCTCAGGGGCGAGCAGCAGGAGAAAGGCCTCTACGTCAACCGCGGCGGTGAGCGGGGCCTGGCCGGCCCAGAGCCCCTGGCCTCTCCAAGGCCTGGGCGGGGCACTTGAGGTCCCCCGAGGGAGGAGGGCAGGGAGGAGGGAAAGAGGAAACATTTAAGAGTCCCAGTGACCCACAGACACATTTGGGGAAGCTTTGCCTTCGACAAACTGGCTACAGTCTGTCTGAGGACTGCTCAGAAATCAGGCACAGAAAGGCCTCCGCAACCGCCCACCGGGGTTGCCAGCCGCCAGTTTCAGGCCCCGCCCTCTGGGGGGTGGAGCAGGCTGAGCCGGGCTCCGGGACACTGGGTCCACTCAGCCCCTGCCGCCGGGTCCGGGCCCCAGACTGCTTCTTCCAGCTGGGCAACCTGGCCTTTGCTGAAGCGGACTACCGGCAGGCGCTAGAGCTGAGCCCGCATGACGAGGACACCAACCGGCGCATGGCCCTGCTGCAGGAGAAGATGGGTTTCTTCGAGCAGAAGAGGAGGTGTGTCCGGGTGAGGGCGGGGCCAGGCCTGGGGGTGGGGCCAGGCCTGGGGGCGGGGCCCGGGGCCTGGGACCAGCCGGGCCTGGCAAGAAGCCGCCTGTTGGGGTCCTTGGGTCGAGATGCTTCTTCTCTCCTAGTTATGTCTCCTACATATAGATTTTATTTTCCAGATTTCCGCTAAAAATCATTTACTTTTTCCTGAATATTATGGTACTTGTACTCTTTATAAAAAACTTAGTAAGTTAAAATTCAGAACATGAGAGTTTCTTCTAATATCTACCTCAGATGCCTCCCCGGCCCCTATACATTTGGGAAAGATTCCTTTAGATTGTTTCCAATGCATGTCCTAACAATTGTCACTTACAAAAGGGGGGTCATGCTAAATTGTGTTTTGCTCGCTTTTTTACTGCCCACGGACGGCATCCACATGGGACGTCGTCATTCTCTCTTTACTGCCTGCATGGTATTCCACTCTGTGGAGGAACCATGGAGGGTTGTCCTTTATGTATTTATCCACTCTACTGCTGGTGAATGGTTGGGTGCTTCCGGGTTTTTTTTTTTTTTTTTACCATAAATAATGCAGTAATGAGCACTCAGGACATGAGCTTTCATGCACTCATACTAGTAACACTCTAGTTAGATTGTCGAAGGTTAAATCGTTGGGTTAAAGAGTGTGGAAATTTGGACTTCCGGCCAAGATGGAGGCGTAGGTAGACACACCGTGCCTCTTCACACAACCAAAAGAAGGACAACAACAATTTAGAAACAAAAAACAACCAGTACCAGCAAAAAACTGAACTGTATGGAAGTTCAACAACTAAGGAGTTAAAGAAGAAACATTCATCCAGACCAGTAGGAGGGGCGGAGTCAGGCAACCGGGCAGAGAGGGGTCGCAGCAAAACGGTGGCTGGCGGACCCTGGGCAGGCAAGGCAGCAGCTGGTGGATCCAGTGAGGTGGCGGGTTGTGGAGGGGCGCGGCACACCAGGCGGCTGGTGGACAAGGCGGTCCCACATTCGAGCGCAGATAAATGAGGCGAAACTGGGGAGTGAGACAGACCACACAACCCAGGGCTCCAGCACAGGGAAATAAAGTCTCAAAACACTGATTGAGAACACCTGTGGAGGTTGCGGTGCCGGGAGAGACTCCCAGCCTCACAGGAGAGTTCGTTGGAGAGACCCACGGGGTCCTAGAACGTGCACAGGCCCATCCACCCAGGAACCAGCACCAGAAGGGCCCAGTTTGCTTGGGGAGAGCGGCGGAAGGGACTGAAATCCGACAGGGAGCAGAGCAAGCGCCATTGTTCCCTCTCGGACCCCGCCCCCACATACAACGTCACAATCTAGCGACTGGGGTTGCTAAGGCTCTGGTGAACACCTAAGGCTCCACCCCCTCAACGTAACAAGCGCGACAAGACAAAAAAAATGGTCCAAATGGAAGAACAGATGAAAGGTCCAGAAAAAATACAACTAAGCGACCAAGAGATAGACAACCTATCAGATGCACAGTTCAAAACACTGGTAATCAGGATGCTCACAGAATTAGTTGAATTTGGTCGCAAATTAGATGAAAAAATGAAGTCTACCCTAAATGAAATAAAGGAAAATGTACAGGGAACCAACAGTGATGGAAAGGAAACTGGAACTCAAATCAATGGAGTGGACCAGAAGGAAGAAGGAAACAAAGAAAAGAATGAAGAAACAAGAAATCAAAAAAATGAGGAGAGGCTTAGGAACCTCCAGGACATCTTTAAACGTTCCAACATCCGAATTATAGGGGTACCAGAAGGAGAAGAGGAAGAGCAACAAGTGGAAAAGTTATTTGAAATAATAAAGGAGGACTTCCCCAATCTGGCAAAGGAAATAGACTTCCAGGAAGTCCAGGAAGCTCAGAGAGTCCCAAAGAAGTAGGACCCAAGTAGGAACACACCAAGGCACATCTTAATTACATTAGCCAAGATGAAAGATAAGGAGAGAATCTTAAAAGCAGCAAGAGAAAAGGAGACAGTTACCTACAAAGGAGTTCCTATAAGACTGTCAGCTGATTTCTCAAGAGACCTCGCAGGCAAGAAGGGGCTGGAAAGAAGTATTTACAGTCATGAAAGGCAAGGACCTACATCCAAGATTGCTCTATCCAGCAAAGCTTTTATTTAGAATGGAAGGGCAGATAAAGTGCTTCTCAGATAAGGTCAAGTTAAAGGAGTTCATCATCACCAAGCCCTTATTATATGAAATGTTAAAGGGACTTATCTAAGAAAAGGAAGATAAAAAACATGTACAGTAAAATGACAGCAAACTCATAATTATTAACAACCATACCTAAAACAAAAACAAAAACAAACTAAGCAAACAACTAGAACAGGAACAGAACCACAGAAACAGAGATCACATGGAGGGTTAGCAACAGGGGAGTGGGAGGAGGAGAGAGGGGGGAAAGGTACAGAGAATAAGTAGCATAGATGGTAGGTAGAAAATAGACCGGGGGGGCAAGAATAGTATGGGAAATGTAGAGACTAAATAACTTATAATTATGACACATGGACATGAACTAAAGGGGGGAACGTGGGTGGGAGAGGGTGTGCAGGGTGGAGGGGAATGAAGAGGGGGAAATGGGACAACTGTAATAGCATAATCAATAAAATATATTAATAAATAAATAAAAACATTTTAAAAAGAGTGTTGAAATTTAACATTGTATATAATAGTCAAATGTTCTCCAAAAACAGTGAACCAGTATAAATTTCTCCCAGGAAAAAAAGAGTCTTGGTTTCCCCAAATCTCAACAGTGGGGGCTATTAAGGCTATTTTTCTTTATTTTTATTTTCATTTTTAAATTGATTTTTACAGAGCGAGAGGAAAGGAGGGAGAGAGAGAAAGAAACATTAACTCATTGTTCCACTCACTTACGCATTCATTGGTTGATTCTCGTACGTGCCATCACTGGGGATTGGACCCATGACTTTCGTGTGTTGGGATGATGCTCTGACCAACTGAGCTTCCAGGCCAGGGCCAGGACTATTTTTCTTTTATTTATTTATTTAAGATTTTATGTATTTAGTTTTAGAAAGAGGGAGGGGAAGGGAGAAAGAAAGAGAGGGAGAGAAATATCAATGTGTGGTTGCCTCTTGCGCACCCCCTACTGAGGACCTGGCCCACAATCCAGACATGTGCCCTGACTGGGAATTGAACTGGTGACCCTTTGGTTCACAGGCCGGCACTCAATCCACTGAGCCACACTAGTGAGGGCTCCAATTATTTTTTTAATTTTTAGCTGCTACATGTATGACATTTTCAGAAAGTCATTCCCTAATCCAAGATCATAAAAATGTGCACTTACATTGGGGTTTTATATTAGCATTTGAGTGCCGCATCCATCAAAAGCGTAGCTGGAAGAAGCAGAGCACAGCGGCATGGTGGCAGGGAGCAGAGACCAGCCCGGTTTTCCCCAGACTCCCCAGTGGAGCCCAGAAGCTGCGATTCCCCACCCCCCCAGGTGGCCTAGCTCACTACAGCCTGTGGCCCACTCTCTCGCAGGCAGTTCCAGAAGGCAGAAAACCGCTTCTCCATGGCCATCCAGCACAGCCCCCAGAGGGCTCCGTACTACCTGTACCGAGCCAGGATCCGGCTGCTCACGCACAATGTTTCTGGGGCCCGCCAGGATGTTGTCACTGCCCTGCTCCTTGACCCTAAGCAGCCGAAGGTGGGTTCCTGCTGGGGGCCGGGAGGGCGGACTCTGGAGTCTATACCCCTGGCCTTCTCAAGATGCTCCCTGTCCCTTAAAGAAATTTGGTTCCCTAGCAACTCATAAGAGCTGCTAACGCCAGAGCATTTACAGTGTGCCAGGCACTGTCCTGATCCCTTCAGCTTGGGTCACTCTGTCTGGCTCACTCCAGCGCCCCACGAGGCAGGCAACGCTATCACTTCCCAATTTACCGGCCAAGAAGGCAGGGCTCGGAGAAGCCAGTTCCCCAGGCCCAGGTCACGCCGCTTAAAGGTTAGCCTCTGACCTGGCTGGCTTCGGAGCCCGTGGCTGGAGTCACGCCCACCAGGGTCCCCTCTCTGAATAGCTCCTTTCTCATGGTCTCCTCATAGTTCAGGGGCAAAAAGGTCCAGCCCTTTAAAAACAACAATTTGCTCTCACCGGTGTGGCTCAGTGGATTGAGTGCCAGCCTGGGAGCCGAAAGGTGGCCAGTTTGATTCCCAGTCAGGGCACACGCCTGGGCTCTGGGCCGGGTCCCCAGCTGGGGGCGCCGAGAGGCAACCGAGCGATGTCTCTCTCGCACGCGGATGTTTCTCTCCTCCTTTCTCTCTCCCTTCCCCTCGCTCTATAAGTAAATAATAAAAAAATAAAAGCAACAATGTATAAACTCTGCCTTCTTCAGCCCTGTAAAGGGACTCTGCGAGGGCCAGGAAGCCCCCTCCCCTGGTGGCCCCTGCCCCGGCCCACACCTCACTCTGGTCACCCCTGTCCTGGCAGCTGCTCCCGCTGCTCACTGACCTCTTCTCGGGCATGTCCACGGAGGAGGTGCTCCGCACCCAGGTGGCCCAGCTGGCCAGGCTGCAGCTGAGCCGGGCGGCGGAAAGCAGGATGCAGGACAGCGTCTGTGACAGCATCCTGGGGTGAGTCCCTCGAGCAGGAGTGGAGGTGACTGGGGCTCGGGGCCCCTCTGGCCCCGGCTGCCCCCTCGGGCTGCTGTCCAGTCCCGGGGGTGGTGGGGCGGATCGGGGAGACTCACCCCGTGCTCTGGGCAGGCAGCTCAGGAGGCGGGAACTGGAGCGCGAGAAGGCCCGGGCCCTGCAGGTCTCGTGGAAGCAGGAGCGGCTTTTGCAGCAGCAGCCTCCGCAGGAGCCCTCCGAGGAGCCGGGCCTCACTCCCCGGGCCCTGAAGGCCAAGCCCGGACGCCCGAAGGAGGAGGAGGCCGAGGGCCCCAAGGAGGAGGTGAGTGGGCCGCACGCTAGAGCCCTTGAGGTCCACCCGGTGGGGGATGCACCCCGAGCCAGGGCTGGGGGATGCAGGCTGGCTGGGGGCTGGCTGGGGGCTGGCTGGGGGCTGGCTGGGGGCTGGCTCTGCCACCGCTCAGCTGGGTGGCGTGGGCTGGGGACCTCGTGCTGTGAGGTCGGATGGAACCAGTAAGGGGTCCCCCTGAGGGAGGGCCCCTGGGGACGAGGCCTCTCCCAGCGAAGCCTTCTCACACCTTGCCCACACGCACCCTCACAAATGCTGCTGTGTGTCCTGGCTGCTTGTGCCAGAGTTTTCTTCATTATGAAATCCATGTCTGGAAACTTTGTATTGAGTGTAACATAGAAAAGTCCGGAAATCATCAATGAAGTGTCGGATGAACTTTCACAAACTGAATACACCCATGGCATCATTACCCACATCCAGAAGGAACCCTCCCCAGAAGCCCCACCCCCACCCCCTTCGAGGACCCTCCCTCAGCCCGCCCCATGCCACCCGACACCAAAGGCGAGAGTGTCCTTCAGGGGACAGTCCGAGTGCCCCCCCACGGCCACCCCGGTCTCGGCTCCCTGCGTTAGACAGCGTCTGTGACACGCTCTTCTCACTGCCGTGGAGAATTCTCTCCTGCGAGTACCCCGCAGTTCGCTCCCCACGCCGCGGCTGGGGACAGCGTGTATGTAAACCAGTGTGCCGCGGACACTTTACACGATCAAAGGGAACGGGCTCCCAGAACCCCTGGCCATAAATGGAAAAGGCTAATTTCACGTTTTTCTAGCTCACACAAGAATACAAAACACACACACTTCGGTCTGTGTGCCCCCTGAAGTCATCGTGAGCCCCTCCCTCGGGGAGGGGCTGGGCTGGCGCCTGCGCATTAGTGCTGCCAGCGCTGCGCTCCTCTGCCCGCTCCCCCTGGGGCCGCGGGTGTGGACAGGCCAGAGGAGACCAGCGGCCGACAGCCTGGCTGTTGGAGTCCCGCAGACCCGGATTGAAGCCCAGCTTCTCCTTAGCTGAGTGCCCTGGGCAGGCTGCTTAGGCGCTCACAGCCTTGGCTCCCTGGTCCGAGAACGGTAGTAGCGGGAGTTTCCTTCCAGACGTGTGGGGAGGATGAACCGGGACGAGACATGTGAAGCATGGAGAAGCTCCTCTGCTCCCCACCGGCCATTCCCCAGGGTACCGCACTTTACGGTTTACAGAAGCCTATCCAGACTTGAACAAATTTGCATCTTGCAGATGGGGACGCTGAGGCCCATGCAGCCTCTCGGACACTGCCTTGCTCACAGCAGCATGCCTGTCTGGGCTGGCCACTCCCCATCCTGTCCAGTCCCAGCCTCTCCCTGCCCCCTTGCCCCCACCACAGCCCCACTCTAGGAGCCCTGAGAAGCTCTAAGCTCAAGGGGACCAGTCGCTGAAGGTCCCAACGCCTGCTGGCCTTCCAGAGCTACGGCCACTGGCCCCGGGCTCCCTGCAGCCTCACTGCCCAGCCCGTCTCTCGCCCTAGGAGAAGCCGGAGCCCGCTCCTAGCAAGGCAAGGTCCCTGTCCGACAGCTACCCCGACCAGACCTCTTCGGACTCCACCTTGGGCTGTAAGTCCCCCATGCTCCTGCCAGGCCCGTGAGCCAGAGCAGCAGAGTGGGCAAAGGTCCGGGGTCAGAGACTCCCTGGCCTGGGTGTGAGTGTGGGCTCCGTGTGACTCTAAAGCAGGAGTATAATCCCACGTCCGCAGGGGGCGTGCTGAGCCCCCAGGGAGGTGATGCCCAGGGGAAGCCTGGACCGGCTCTCGTGACAGCCCCTCACTGCCCCCGCAGGCCTGTCTGCCCCCTTGCCCTTCCCTGAAATAAGCCCACAAACCCGGTGCATGTCCAAGGGGCTTTTACCCCCAATTCTTCCAGGCACGAGCATGGAAGGGACAAAAGCCAAACCCCCAGGAATGCTGCCCCCAGCAGAGTCCCGGGGACAGGTGTGAGCGGTCCGGGGTAGGGGCAAAAGTAGCGGCGGCTGGCCCTGTCCTTCCCTCAGTGCCGGTCAGCCAGCCATCGAGCCCCGGGCTGGGCTCTGCCACACACGGGTTACGGGCAGGAACAGCTCGTCCCTGCTGCAGGGAGCTTTGGTCCAGATGGGGAAAGGCACGCAGGTAAAGAGACAACCAGGACAGTGTAGACGCACGCTGGACAGCTGCGGGTGCGTGCGGCCCCCCGCTGGGGTCAGAGAGGGCGTCAGGGCCTGAGGGAGGAGCAGGGTTAGCCGAGTGCGGGGAGGGCGGAGCCGGGCGGAGTGCAGGCTGTTGGCTGTGGCTGGGTTCGGAGGGCAGGGGTGGCCGGTGCCGGGGAGGCCAGGACGACAGGGCTCACGTGGCTGAGGGCAGGTGGGCTGCTGGGCTGCAGGGCTCTAGCAGGCCTTCCCCTCGGCCAGCCATTCAAGGCCTCTGGGGTGCGGGCTTCCTGGGGCCGCCCAGGGGGAGGGGCCTGATGGGTGCGCTGGGCACACCCTTCGCAGTCAGGACCCTGCCGACCTCGGAGATAGAGACGTCCACCACCTGTCTGGAGTACAGGAGTACCACGACGTCCACTGCGACATTCTCGGATTCCTCCGTGCTGAAGACTCAGCCCGCAGACGTGAGTACCCACAGGGAGGCCATAGGCCCGAGCTACCGCCCCAGGAAGACTAAGGCCGCCCAGGACCAGAGCTGGAGATCCAGCAAGAGAGGGGCCACGCAGGGCCAGAGTCACAGGCTCATCAAGACCGAGGCCGCCCAGGGCCCAGGGCAAAAGCCCGGCAAGACCGAGGCCACCCAGGGCCCAGGGCAGAGGCCCAGCAAGACCAAGGCCGCCCAGGGCCCGGGGCAGAGGCCCAGAAAGACCAAGGCCGCCAGAGGCCCAAGGCAGAGGCTCAGAAAGACCAAGGTTGCTCACGGCCAGAGCTCAGAACCCAGCAAGGCGGAGGCTGCCCGGGGCCGGAGCTGGGGACTGATTCGAAGTTCCAGCAAGACCAAGACTTTCTATGACCCAAGTGGTAGCCCCGGCAACACTGAGGCCACCCAGGACCTGAGCCAGAACCCCAGCAAGACCAAGGCTCCCCAGAGCTGGAACCAGGGCTCCAGCCTAGGTTCCAGCAAGTCCGAAGTCACCCAGGACCTGAGCCAGAACCCCAGCAAAACCCAGCACAGCCCCGGCCCTGACAGCTCCACTGTTCTCTGAAGGGGCCACCAAGCCCCCCGCTGCTTGCTGGAGACGGGGAATATTCTACCGCATCCGCACTCAGCGGTGAGAAACCTCAACCGACATCACTCTGGTCCCACGGCTAAGTTTATTTGTTCTCTTCTTTTACAAAATTAAAAACGTTAAAAACTAGGCTCAAGTGGCAGCTTGGGCCCCTCCATTCTCGGAGACTGAGAAGTCTCAGCCTGGCTTTACCATCCCGGGACGTGGGGGGTGGGGTGCGGTGGCGGGCATGGTCGGTCCAAGGTAAAGGCTGGGGAGGGAGGGAGCCGCCAGGAGCCACAGTCCCTGAGTTACAATTCACATTTTAAGGAGGCTCAGGCTGGAGGGCAAGGTCAAGGCTCGTGGAGGTGCTGGGGTGACCAGCACTTCTCCCCTGGGGAAGGAAGCGAAGGCCAAGATGTCCTCAGACCAGTTAAGAGGCCAGGGCCCTCCCTGGGCCTCCATCTTGGCCTGGCCGACCCTTCTCATCTTTCCTTTGTGCTCTGGGCCCCACTGTCCGGGAGGCCCAGGACCAGGGTCCCTCTGGCAGAGGCGCCCGGGGGGGCGTCCCTGCGTGGCCCGGCCAGGTGGAGAAGGGCAAGCACGCCGCCTGCGGAGTCAGAGGAAGAAGGCAATCCGGGAAGCCACAGTCTTGCAGCCGGTGGAGGAGAAGAGCTGCTCGTCCTCAGGAAAGAAGGTGGTGCTGTCCAGCACGGCCTGGACCGCCTCTTCCCTGGGCTCCAGGCCCAACTGCTCCAGCTCGTTGAGCACGCAGTGCCGCACGTGGTGCCTCTGGAGCGGCAGGAAGGGCACCAGGGCATCCAGGAGATGCTCTTCCATGATGCCCGAGCGCCAGAAGCCATCTGCAGAAAGGGATGGCGGGGAAAGGAGCTGTGCTTCCCAGAAGCGGGGCTGCTGTCCCCGGGAGGCCAGTGTAGGCTCTCGACTCTCAGCCCCCTTCTGGGCTCAGGGAGGCCGTGCGACAGCCAGGAGCCCCAGAGCCCGGCCTGGGAAGTGGTGGGTCAACGGGCAGAGCATCCGACTCCGGCCCCACGGGTCTGGATGTGAGGCCCAGCCTGCTGAAGCCACCTGGGGGGGGTGGGGGGGCCTGAGCCGAACTCACGGTGCGGGTTGTCCAGCACAGCCCGGGAGACGGCTGGCTCCAGCTCCTGCAGGCGGATGTCCTCCCGCTCCCGGCGGCTGCGCCATGCCTCCAGTACCACCTGGTTGATCTGCTCGCCACCGGTGTTGCTAAAACCATGGGGAGGGACCCGGGCCAAGACTCAGGCAGTGAGGGGCAGGAGTTGGCCCTGCTTCCCACACGCCACCTAACACAGCCCGAGCCTGGGGGTCCAGCTCAGTGCCGGCAGGAGCCAACCCGCCGAAAACACGCCAGCAGAAGCACTTCCCCTCTCCAGAGCCTGTGTCCACACCCGTGACCCCTGGAGGTTCACCTACAGGTGCTGTGCACTTTACAGAACACGTCCGTGTCCCTCCACTGACTTCCCCTCGCCCAGCCTCCGGGAGAACAGGGGTTTCGTTCAGCCCTGTTGCTCAGAGAGCAGATGGGGGCTCAGAGAGGTGAAGTCATTGGCTGGAGGAAGCACGGCGAGGACCCTTAGTGGTGGCACTGGAGCCCTAGTTCTGTTTCTCCCAGGCCTGTGTCCTCCTGGACACAACAGAGGGAGTTCCTGTTGTGTCCACAGGACAGGAGTTCCTGCCCCAGCAGGGCGTCCACAAAGACACAGTGAGGACCAAAAAGACTGAGCCCAGAATAGGCTTTGAGATTATCAAAGGGAAGTCAACCACCTTGAATGGCAGTGTCACTGTCGAGAGGGTGAAGGGCTTTGGGACAGCCTGACTGGGCCCCGGGGGGTGGGACGCGGCTGTGGGGCGCCAGGCCAAGACTGGACAGCGGAGACCCCTAAGTGCCCCCATCACTGTGCCCGCTGCCCGGCGGCACCCCACCTGATGAAGATGAAGATGGCTTTCCGATAGTTGGTCCCGTACACAACCCAGGAGGAGCCCAGGAAAGGTCGCAGGACCTCCATCAGGCCCGGGGACAGCTTGTCCATCTCATCGAAGAGGAAGAGAGAGCGGCCGCACACGGTGAGGTTCCCCTGCACCCAGCTCTTCAGGTCCTTCTGCGGGAGAGCGGCGGGCGTCTGCGGGGGCTGCAGCTTCTCTCCCTGCCCGACTGCTTCCCGAGGCGAGAGCTAAGCCCCTCCCAGGAAGACGGGGCCTCACAGAGAGCACTGACCCCTTCATGGGACTGGTGGCAAAACCGGGGCCCTGGGAGGGGCAGAGACTAGTCCTTCAAACGTCAAGTCAGCGGGACACACCCGCCTGCAGGACTCCTTCCTGACACCTGCTGCTTCCCACAAAAGGGGGAAGGCTCCTTCCTGCCCTCCTGAACCTCCTCAGGCACCGTTTTGACAGGTGAAACAGATCAGCCTGGGACGTACCTTGTCATCAATAACTACGATACTAGTAGTAGTAGTAGCAGTAGTAGTAGTGAAAGCTAGTATTTACTAAGTACTTACTGAGCCTCAAGTTGGGGCTAACAGAGAGAAGGCAGGGCAGACCGTCTGGCAAAGGTTAAGCGCTCAATAATTAGGGCCTGTGATTACACAATCCCACATCTTCCACAACAAACCTGGCGGCAGGCACCGTCTCGCTCCCCCACCACCCAGGAGTGAAAGTGAGAACCAACTCCCGGCCGCCAGGCAGAATGGCGCCACATCCCAAGCTCTGCTCCAGGTGCGTCCTGAAGGCTGGCTCCACCTGGCTGTGTGGCCTGGAGCAAGTGAACCCCCCTCTCTGGGCTTAGGACTCACACTCCCTAGGGCACGGCCCCCCCGTGATGCAGAATGATGCCAGATGCGACCAGCCTACCTTGTAGCGCTCCAAGTGGCTGGGATGGGGGAAGTGGAGGACGGGGGAGAAGTGGTGCACGTAGGGGCTGCGGAGGCCGCCCCGGAAGAGGTAGTGTGCCAGCAGGGAGCTGACATAGGACTTGCCAGTGCCCGTCCAGCCGTGCAGGGAGAGGACCAGCGGCTTAGTGGGGGCCGGGTCCCGCACGAAGGCCTTCAGTGCCTTCACCACCAGCGCCTTGGCCAAGTGCTGGCCTGCCAGGTGCTGGGCCAGGTCACACTCCAGACCTAGGGCCGCAAGAAGGACAGTGTCAGCGCTGAGGACACGCCTCTGCCACAGAAGAGGTTCATGGGGGAAGTAATATCTGGAATCTGGTCTAGGGATCCCTGCTGGTCTGGGACGTTTTCACAAGATGTCTGCGGGAAGCAAGCGGGGGGCCCTTGGAGTCTCCGGCAGCAGAAGCCACCCTCAGGCCTGATTCGGCAGCGCCCCCACCAGGCCTCCTTCTGAATTGCGCTCAGCCCTAAGTGGGTGCGAAATGTCAACAGGGTCTGCCCCAGAACCCTCTGTCCATCCCCAAAGCAGGCTTCTCTCCTGACGCCTCTTCCACTGCGGAGACCTAAACCTCCCCAAGGGCCCCGCTGTCAAAGGCCTGTCTCCCAAACGGGCATCCCCAAACCCTCGCCCCGCGTCCCGGCCGGTCAAATGTCCCTCGGCGCCAGGCCCACTTCCGGCCGTGGCCGCCCGGAAGCCTGCGGGTTCCGCCCTTCGGTTCTACCCTCCAGGTCCGGTCCCGGCGCAACGCCGGAGTCCGTGGGCTCTCGGGTCTCCCCTCCCTTTCGCTCCTCACCCTGGAAGTCGGGCTGGAAGTCACATTCGCAGAAGGTGCCGAAGTTGCAGCGCAGTGAAGTCAGGTCCCAGGCGGCGGCCGCGGCCGAGACCAGCCCGAGCAGCCCGAGGAGGAGCGAGCCCCAGGGCCGGCATCCACGCGTCTCAGCCGCCATCCAGGAGACGGACGAGCTGGGTCTGGGGCGGCCCACCGCCCCCTGAGAACTACAGCTCCCGGCGTGCATCGCTCCGCGGCAGCCACCTCCCTGGGCCTACAGCTCCCGGCTCCCCTCTCGCCCCTCTCGAAGGCCCGCCCAGTCGTCCCGCTGCAGGTCCGGAAGGTAGCCTCCAGGGGGAGCCCGCGACCTGTCCAACCCGGGACGGCGGGCCGCGTTTCCATGGCCACAGTAACTAGGGTACCATCATAGTAGCTCAAAAAAAAAAAAGAATTATTATTACCACAACGATTGTAGTGAAAACTTGTGCGGCACCTTCACACCTTGCAAAGCTCCTTTTTCATGTTTTTTGTTCTTTAAGAACTCTTACTAATAGCTTTCAAGCACCTACTGTGCGCCATTAGCGTTAGGTGCCTTACAAATCTTACATGATAACAGCATCTGTCATAAAGAGAAATGGTGGCATTCCAATGAAATACAAGCACATAAAAATGTTTTGGCTCAAAATAATCAATAAATGATCGTTGACAACCCATTACATATGAGACAGACATACATACATATGTGTGAAACTGGTTCCTTTTGCACTACTGTGCACTAAATGCTGTGACGCAACCCTAGGAGACTGATTCTGTTAATGTCCCATTTTGCTGAGGTGGAAATTGGAACCCCAGGGGTTAAGCCTCACTCATATCCAAGGTTACTCAGCTAGTAAACAATAGAACTGAACGCAAGTCTGACTGCCACCAAAGATCTATCGCACTATGTTACCCAGCGTCTCACAGAGGATTTAAAAGGGAGAGAAACCCAGACGTTCTGAATTCAGTGAACAGGCTCCCCGGACTTCTAGCCTGGCTTGCCCTGGTGTTGGTCGTTGGTTCGCATTGCCTACCTCCCCCACCTATGAAATCAAAACAACTGTGTTCACCCTGGCTGGCGTAGCTCAGTGGATTGAGCGCGGGCTGCGAATCAAAATGTCCCAGGCTCGATTCCCAGTCAGGGTACATGCCTGGGTTGCAGGCCATGACCCCCAGAAACCCCACATTGATGTTTCTCTCTCTCTCTCTCTCCCTCCCTTCCCTCTCTAAAAATAAATAAAATCTTAAAAAAAAACAACTG